GGGAAAGGATCCTGGAACAGATCCCAGGTTACATCTACAGGAAAAATCCCAGGTTCCCACCATGGGAAGGATCCCATCCTGTTCCCATGGGATGGATCCCAGAATCCCACCATGGGAATGATCCCAGTTTCCCACCACAGCAAGGATCCTGTCCTGCTCCCATGGGAATGATCCCAGTGTCCCAGCACGGGAAGGATCCCAGATTCCCACATGGAAACCCCTTTGACGATCAAGCCCTTCCCTCTTCCCGCCCCGTTTTCCAGTTCCGCTCCCGCTGTCACATTTTTTGCATAGGAAAAAAAATTAATAGCAAGGAAGCTTCGTGCTTTCCCGGGAATCCGCCCCGGGCTGGCTCCTCCCGACGGACAGGACACGGCTCCGACGTACTGGGAGCCTCCAGGCTTTCCCAGGAATCAGGTTAGAGCGGGATTAGTGCCGGACAAGACGCGCAGGACGTGATTCCAGGCTCTCGGAATTGTGTTCTGGGTGAGTGGATCCAAGGAATTCGGGAGTAGAAACAAAGGAATGTCTTTAGAAAACGTCCCTGGAGTCAATTGTTCTTGGGGCTGTTCCGGAAGTTCTTTAATTCCAGCTGCAGCTGCCGGATCTGAATGTCCTTCTGCGAGAGCTCGTCCTTCATCCTCCGGATCTCGTCCTGTTGCCGGAAGAACATCCGCAGCAGCTGGAAAACAAGGATGGAGATGGGATGGAGCTGGTGGGATCACATCAGCTGATCCCGGATTTGCCAGATCCGTGCTGGGGATGGGCTGTAACTCGGCTGCTTCTGGGGACAAGGGATGGATTTGAACTGATGGATGGGAGATTTTGATGGGATTTTGGGAAGGAATTCCCAGCTGGGAGGGTGGAGAGGGGCTGGGATGGAATTTCCAGAGAAGATGTGGCTGCCCTTGGATCCCTGGAAGTGTCCAAGGCCAGGCTGGAGCAACCTGGGACAGTGGAAGGTGTCCACGATGGGAAAGGGTCAGGAGATGGATCCCAGGATCCCACCCTGGGAAAGGGTCAGGAGATGGATCCCAGGATCCCACCATGGGAAAGGGTCATGGGATGGATCCCAGGATCCCACCATGGGAAAGGGTCAGGAGATGGATCCCAGGATCCCACCCTGGGAAAGGGTCAGGAGATGGATTCCAGGATCCCACCATGGGAAAGGGTCAGGGGATGGATCCCAGGATCCCACCCTGGGAAAGGGTCAGGAGATGGATCCCAGGATCCCACCCTGGGAAAGGGTCATGGAATGGATCCCAGGATTCCACCATGGGAAAGGGTCATGGGATGGATCCATGTTTCCCACCATGGAAAAGGGTCATGGGATGGATCCCAGGATCCCACCATGGGAAAGGGTCATGGGATGGATCCATGTTTCCCACCATGGAAAAGGGTCATGGGATGGATCCCAGGATCCCACCCTGGGAACTGTGCCAGGTTCTCACCATGGGAAAGGGTCATGGACTAGATCCTGGGATCCCATCCCTGGAGGAATCCCACGCTCCTGCCTCCCTTGGGATGGAGCCCGGCAGCGCGGTGCCTTTCCAGGCTCATCCCCCAGATCCCATTCCCATTCCCACTCCAGGGCTGCCCCACCTCGTTCTCCGTGCGGGGCGGGACGTTCTCCAGGAGGTCGATCCCGTTGACCACCACGCTCTTCTTCTCCCTCACCGGCGCCTTGAAGACGATCTTGGAATTCTTCTTGTATCCCTCCTTCAGCGACACCAGGATGGGATCTGCGGGAGAGCCGGCGGATCAGCGGGATGCGGTGGCCTTTTCCCACATCCCGGATATTTTTTGGGATACCCCCTGGTGGGTTTACCTCTGTTGATCCCACTGAGCCACTCGTCCGGGGTCAGGGCTGGCTCTGTCCCCGGAGTCATGGGATAAATGTCCTCCTGGTACGTCTCCGACTGGGAAAATGGGAAGAGAAGAGCAATGGGAACTGGGAATCCACTCCCTGGGAACTGAGGAATAATTCCCTGCCCCGCAGATGGAATAAACACCTGGATGTTTGGGAAACTCCAGGCACAGTGAGGAGATTTGGGAAGTGCTGGCTGGAGCAGAGAACCTGGGATCACGTCCTCCACCCAGCCCTGGCCAGCAGCTGGATTTGCTTCCCAGAAAACCTTGATCCAAGAGATATTTCCCAAAACTCAAGTGAGACCAACCCCTTGGAGAAACATTCCCTCGAGACATTCCCGTTAAATTGTGGTTGAAATTCCATGGGATGACCAAGGATGGAGAGGGACGGTGGGATCAAAGCCATGCATGGGATTGGCCAAAGTGGGGCATGTCCATGGCTTTGGGGTCTCTGGGACATTCCGGATCCCGCTCATTCCCACATTCCAGGACTCACCCGCCTCGGGACGATCATGGAGATGGGCTCGATGAGCCCCTTGAGGGTGATGAGTTTGTAGAAACGGAAAACTTCACAGGCGGAGACGTCCAGGCCGTGCTT